GCCCTGTTAATCTGCCTGTAAATTTCCCCTGACAGATAAGATAGCGCCATATTAGAAGGACAGAACACAATCAGACTCCTTCATGTGGTGCTGAATCTGTACAGAAATTACTGCTTAAAAAATAATGTTTGATAGAACCCTAGTTGCTTTTGCTATTCCCAACCCAAAGAGAAGTTCATAGCACTTGATGGATGTAGTGGCTTTCTTCAAACTACAGAAGCTCTGTCTTTATAGTGCAAAAGCTAGACAATATGAATACTAAGAAACACTGAGATTTGTATGATAGAAATATAGACTCAAGGAATGTTTGCTGGACAAAACTGTTGAGATGTAACTGAAATGCATGCACTTACACTATATCTTAATAAATGGTTGTTGGTTCAGGAATCCCCATAAATTACTATTTTATCCTTATATAGCACAAGCTTGACATTCAATTGGACTCTATGGGAACCCTCAACCTGCGTAGTAAGAGTTGTTACACAAGATTTTCCTTAAACTACATTAATATTTTTAATCTTCAGTCATTGAATCATGTTATATTTGTTAGATTGAAAAGCCCATTATTAAATATTTTCCCCATGTAGGTATTTATAAAATATAATCAAGTAACCCTTTAACCTTCCTTTTGTTAAGCTAAACAGTCTCAAGGAACTCAGTCTATTTCTGTAAAGCATGTGTTCTAGTCTTTTCATAATTCTCATGGCTCATCTCTGAGCCCTCTCCAATTTATCAACATCTTTTTGAATGGGCGTCACCAGAAATGGACATAGTGCTCAACTGCCAAATATAGTGGTAAAATGTCTTGTCTACTCTTACTCAAGATTCCCTTGTTCAGTGATCCTGGCAGAGCATTAATTTTACATGCCCCTTCATATAATAGCAGAACAGGGGATCAACAAATGAAATAAATAGACAACAAATTTAAAAGAAGCAAAAGGAAGTATAGGTTGAAACTCTTAACCAGGATTCTCTGGTCTGGCAATATCCATAGTCCGGCATAGATGTTGCAGGACCTGAGAGTCCTGGTGGAGGATCAGTGGCAGGGCAGTGGGCTGTAGGCAGTGAGCTGAGGGCGGGGCTGTGTAGTGCGTGGTAGCAGGTCTGCCCAGCAGGGCCAGGAGCTGCGATAGCTTGGTGGGTGGTTGCTGGGTGGGTCCCAGGGCCAGCAGGAGGTGAGGTGCTGGCGGGGAAGCTAGCAGGACAGGGTGGGAGGCTGGAAGCAAGGAGTCCAGAAATTACCTCCCCTGGTCCAGCAACATCCCTCATTCAGGACCTATCAGGTCCCAAGAGTGCTGGATCAGGGAGGTCCAACCTGTACTACTTCATACAACACACAGCTGCTCATTGTCAGGGGATATGGTGAAGGCTAAAACTATTATCTGTGTTCAGAAAATAATTAGGTTCATGGAGAATAGGTCCTTTGATGGCTATTAGCCAACAAGGTCAGGGATTCAACCCCACTCTGTGGGCATCCCTAAGTCTCTGACTACCAGATGCTAAGAATGGTTGAAAGGATGGATCATTTGATAATTGCCTTGTTCTGTTCATTCTCTTTGAAGAATCTGGTGGTTGGCCACTGTCAGAAGGCAGGATAGTGGGCTTCATGGATCTTAGTCTGACATTACATGGCTGTATTTATGTTCATCCATAGCTCCTGCATCTTTTCTCATTTCTGGCTTTGACTCTTTGCTTCCTAGACCCAGACATAGCTAGACTAATGTGACAATTACATAGTCGGCAGTATTGACAGCTCTTATAATTTTCTCATGAAATCTCATAGTGGCAAGATAAACTGCTAGTACTCTAATTTATTTTAACTTGTTCTTTACTATGAAATTAATTCTGGTTATGGTAATTAGATGTTTTAAAGGGCTGATATTTTTATTGCTGGCTTATATTTGCCCAAATAAAATTCCTACAGTCTGCTTTTTAGTAATGAACTTGTTCTTCAGTATGAAATATTTCTTACTTTGATGAAATTCAGCACATTTATTAATGTTGGTAATAATGTTATGTTCTCCACCTATCTAATTCTTGGTTTAAATACTCACATTTACTGATAATTTAAAAGTGTTTCTGTAGTTAGTCTTATAGAAGCTTCTAAAACTTGGGACTATCTCCAAGATGTTTGTGTATCACAGACTTCCTTCCTGGTCATTCTTAGGACATTTGCATAACCCAGCATCTTACAGTAAGCAAACTTTCTGAAATTGGAACCTTATTGTCGGAATGTATCAGCAGACAAATAGAACACTAACCACTGCTTTTTCCCGAAACACACACTTTCAGATGCATATAAGCTACAGCAAAGCCTCATAAATTAATATTTAAAAATGTGTCCTAAAATGTTTAATGGATAGTTGTTTCAAAGACTAGAAATGGATTTGCTGGATAAAGCTTTGTTGGATTTCAGAATATATGCTATCCAAAAACCTTTAAATGAAAGTGCCGGTCACAATTTTTAGTTGTGACAAAAGGTACGTTTTCTGAAAAAATGGCATTAGTTTTATAGTAAAATTGTGCACAGTACTTGACAAAAGGCCAAGGATGAGAGCAGACCTTATAGTGAACTATAAATGGAATCATTAGTGTTCTTGCAAGCGCGCCAATTGAAAATAATTTATAAACCAAAAAAAACAACCTCTTGCTTATTGTCGGCCATTGGGTTTTGAGAAAAATAGCTATCTGTACCACAGTATGGCTATAAAAGATAGTGGTAGGGGAAATGAAATGCCATATCAGAGACTGGGAAAATAGTTTTCAAACATGTGTCCCATTTATGCTACACTCAAACAAAAATTTCACAGCTGTGAAATGAAACAACATAATGACTGTTCCTCTATTAACATTTCACTACTGTTCTCCCCATTACTGCACAGAAAAGATATAGTGGCTTAGCTTTGCTGTCTGGTCTTGTAGTTTGTATATACTGTAATTTTGTTGGAAAAAATAGTTGTTGTTACTATTTTTTTTAAATCAGCTATCCAAAAATGTGTGAAGAATGGAACTGTTAAAAGCTCAGAGGTAATCTCTGTGGAAGACTAAAGTTAAAGAACACTTCAGGATGATAATAGCACAATTAACTTGCAAGATTGTATTCCATGTTTGCCTCAGTCAAAAGTCTTTTAGTCAGTCCTCCTGAATGAATACTGCAGTTTAACATTTCAGATTATTTCCTTACAAAGCTACTCATTATTTACCTGATCGTAAGAATTAAGCAAGCAGAGAGGAGTTAAAGTCTGATTCCGAGACTGCACGCTGAACTGGAAGCCAGTCCATAGTACAGGTTGGACCTTGCTGGTCTGGCACCTTTGGGACCTGACTGGTCCCTAATGAGGGAATTTGCAAGACCAGGGAATGTCCCTTCCCTCTTGGCCTATGCTGCCATCTGATTAGGGCTCCAGCCTGCCTCTGCTGCTGTCCCAGGGCAGAGCACCATGGCCAGAGATCCACACCTGGGGCAGAGCTTCCTAGCCAGGCAGTTCTGGAGCTGCACAGCTGGAGCAGAGCAGCTCAGCAGCCACCTGGCTCCGTGACTGGGGCTGGAGCTCTGCTGTCAGGGACAGAATCCTCTGGCTAGTGCTGGGGCTGGCGCTGGGGCTGGAGCTCCCCACTCCAGCTGCGTCTCCCTCTCCTCTCCCTCCCCCCACACACATGCCAGTGCCCCCTAAATGCATTCTTGCCCTGCCGCCAGACCTCCCTGTTCTTGGAGTCTATGATCCAGGAACACCTGTGGTTTATACTGGACCAGGGAGTTCCGGTTAAGGGAGGTACAACCTGTAAGTTTAAGCATAGCAGAATTTATTTCATCAGTTAAAAAATTAAAATGACATTTTATTTTTATGACTGGCCTTTGTTATCTTCAATTGTACCATGAAGACCAGGGAGCTTATAACATGAAACTTGTTAAACTTATAAATTACCCATTGACCTAAATCATCACTAATCCAACTGTTTAAACAATGGTGTGTATATGTCTCTCTGTATCTATAGATATAGATAAAGAGAGAGGGATATGTAGATACTGGGGGTGTGTCTAGACTACAGGGTTTTGTCGACAAAAGTGGACTTTTGTCGACAAAACTATACCTGTGTCCACACTGCCTTTGAGTTATGTTGACATAACGTCGACAAAACTCAGCATTTTTGTTGACGTATGTAAACCTCATTCTACGAGGAATAACACCTTTTGTCGACAGAGTTCTGTCGATAGAAGGCATTATTGCATCTACACTGTCCTTTGCGTCCACACTGTTATGTCGACAAAGCGGCTTTGTCAACAGAAGCTTTGTCGACAGTATCTGTCGACAAAACCCTATAGTCTAGACATACCCATAGATATATCTTACACTGATGCTCCTTTGTTAAAGAACTTAAGCAAAAATTGTATTTTCCACTTTTTTCTCCTCAGCTGATTTTGTTGTTTTTAAATCAAGCTTTAGTCCTTATACTTATGGGAGTTATACTGGGCGGGGAGCAGTTGGAACCAGCTGGGGTTTTTTTAAGGAAAAATAATAACCTATGACTTAAAACCTCCAGCAGCCACTAAGTTGTACAATATCTAAATCTGTGTAATCATCTGATATTACTTGTGTTATCCTTATGATCCATTCCTCTGTCATGGTCTTCTTTTTATTTTTTATTTTTTTTATTACATCTGGTGTATGTTGTCCCAAATGATATCAAAAGCTCTTTGGGATGGACTCTGTATGTACATGCATGTGTGCAACAAAGACCAAATTCTGCAATACAGGAACTGCCATAATATAAATAATTTTATTCTTTCTTTTAAATACAAATGTGTTCATTTAACAGAAAATATTTCTAGTAGCTTTTTTGCTGTATAGAAGTTTACTTCCTTGGCAAAGGCAGGAGGAAAGAAGGGTAAAGTAATGAAACCAGCTACACTAGTTTGGATTGTGGGCGAGGGGGGAAAACAGTGCTCTACTGAACAGAGTTTAGGTAAACTACTAACCAATCTTATCTGTACTGGACAGGTACACCTTCAGGAGTACCTTCAGAAGAAGTCAAGAAAAATGTACAACATGTAAACGAATGTGCAGTCCCTCCACAAAAAAGAACAAGGCGGAAGCTAATGAATTCTCCAGTGATAGCACAAAGTCCTGAAGCTTTCAAACAGTCTAGCCTTAATCGCCTGGAGGATTCCCTCAGCAAGGATGTCCGTCCTATTGTGTATACACCAGAAGTTGGTAGAAAATCTATTCCAATCTTTTGTACACAGACTGTGGTAAAGCAACCATTACAAGTGGCAAGCCTTCCCGAAGTGAATAGCTGTAATGCAGATATTCATTTCCCTTTGAAAAAAGAGTGTGGCATGGACGTCACATATAACGTGATACCACAGTATGAACAGATAGACATGAATTCAACAGTGACTCTGTACGAAGGTACAAGTAACACAAATGATCCTTGTGCTGACTTGTCTGAAAAGGAGTCACACCTGTGCAGCAGCAGCAGTGTTTTACAAAGGTAGTTATGTACATCCGTGCATTAGATGTCCCCATTCTTTTCTGACATGCTTTGTTTTATACAGTTTCTTTTCATGCGGTTGATCTGTTTTTCTTGTGCTGTTTTCTATTCTTCTAGTAAACTTAAATAACTAATGGTGTAATTTTTTTTTCTGGAAGTTGGCAACATTCGTCATTGAAGTCAATAGTAAAATTTACATAAGACATTAAAGACAAAATTCAAATTAATTTGCTGATTATCCTGGACATTTTGGATTTATTTTGGTACCTATACTAAGAGATGATATAGCGGGTACTTACTGGAAGTCAGGAAATTGAGTACTATTACCAGTACTGCTTCTGTGAGGCCATAGACAAACTGAGATTCAGAGAAGTTAATATTCCTATCTGTAAAATGGAGAAGTACTGATCCTCCTTCAGAAGCCTTTTGTACTACCCTGAAAAAAACTGCAATGTAAAGGTTAATTACTAATCTCATAGTACCATGCTGTGGCTTTCAAAATAAAAGTTCTAATGTCCTTACTTTTCAAAAAAGAAATAACTGTTTCTATTTTTATTGGAATGTTTATTTTATGTCCAGTACTGAGTTTTTCAGTTGTAGAACACTTATTTGGCATCAAGTGAAAAGTAACTGTTTTCATCTGGGATATGTTTTTCATAATTTAAATTAGTATCTTAATTGAATTTCAGACTTGGTCTTCCTTCATTGCTGAATAGAAATCCTGGTCCAATACACGAGCAGCCATCATATATGGCAATGACTTCTGCTGCTGAGAGGAAAAGGAAGTTATTAAGGTAATTTTAAAAAAAGTGTCTGTTCCATGAGCTTTCACCTACAGTTTTAATTTTTATTACAATTATGATGTGAAGAAGTGTCAAGTATCCAGAAATTAACTTATTATGCCCCACAAAGGGTTTGACAATTCATATTTAAGTATATAATCTTCCCAAATTATGTAGAATCTGTTCTTAAAGTTTTTTATATAAACTATTTTTTTAGTTTTAGTCAAACCAATAAAGATTAACATTGCATTTTCATAATTGTCTTACACTGGGGGGAAATTATTTCTGATTTAGAAGAGGCCAGTTGCATCATCTCATCTTATGGACTGTGCACTACTTAGATCCTGAAAGTAGGGATGTAAAAAAAGCTATAAAAACAGTAGCCATCAAAAATCCTAGTAGTTACACAGTTAAACGTTTTGGGGATGTACAGCCACATGGGACTAGGAAGGGATGCCCCTGCCACTCCTGAACAGCTGGTGCCTGCTGCTCCTGGAGAGCCAGCTGATGCTTATCAGTTAACTGATTAAACTTATATCCCTACCTGAAAGAGAATGTTTATTAGTAATAGCAACAGTGAACATAATAGAAGCGCATGTAGGAGAAAGGGTGGCCTTATGTTTTGTGGAGTTACCCAATGGCCTGTGAAAAATCACTTCTGAATATTGAGAGTAGAAATCTCCGTCTTACACAGACATTCCTACTTCTTGATAAAGTATATCTAATTTTCAAAGAGATGCTATTAAAGTATCCTTTAGCAGAAAATTTTAATTAAAATTATAACCAAAAAAGGTATCTCTTTAAATACATTACTGTTATAAAGTTCCATTATTTGTTACTGACAGTAATACATACTGGTGTTAAGTTATTTTTTATATATGTATCAAACCTCTGTCCATTAAAATGCTTCTGAAGAAGTCATGAATCCTGAGATCAAGTTTCAAGTAGCTTTTTTTTAATATTATTAGCACTTATGAGTGACAAATGCAACCCTAGTTTTATGAGTGTACAGGCAGTCCCCGGGTTACGTACAAGATAGGGACTTTAGGTTTGTTCTTAAGTTGAATCTGTATGTAAGTCGGAACTGGCGTCCAGATTCAGCCACTGCTGAAACTGACCGCCAGTTCTGACTTACATACAGAA